TTGGTAGATCCATAGTGAGATGGTAAGGGCACGGCCTACTGAAATTAGGCTAAGAATACTCTCGCTCTGAACATTTTGATGCACACAAAATAAAATGAAAAGAAATAGCAAGGAAAACCCATATGGAGAGTTTTTTTTTTTTAGTGAAGCAAAATCTTAGTCTGAATGTTAGATTTCTATCTTTTGTTCATGGATCAGCAAGTTATGAATAATTTATAAAAGAATGTACAATTTATAATTTTCTTGCACTGTCCAGCTACATGATTCTAGCTATACATGGATATCTTTCAAAGGACAAAACCTTGAGTTGTGTTGTCAGTTTATCTTGGCTCACTGTGCCTCATGTCTTTGACTCAATGTCCTTCAACATAATCCAATGGGATGTGAGTTCTTACCTGGACATCTACATCAATTACCAACCCAACCACAGACCTTAAAGTTGATCTACTAGCCTCTTCTTGGGGTTAATTCCCAATAAAATAGGTTTCTTACATGCTGCTTGGTTCAGAGACCTCAATGTCTTACCTGTGCCTCAGATCATAAAGCATTTCCTGAAGTGCAGCAAGCTATTCCTTCCTTCTGCTTGACTTGGAATTACTTTGATCCTCCTTCTTTTAGTTTCTTAAATCAGGAAATTCGATAAATGATTAGAGGTTTTTCTTATTTTCTAATAAAACATTTTGTGCTTTAAATCTCATGTAAGTACTGGTTTAAATGCATCTCACAAATGTTGATATGTTGTACTTGTTATCATTCAGCTCCAAAAAATTTTTAATATCCCTTCCTCTTTCTTAAACCAATGGATTGTTGAGATGTTTAATATTAGTCACTAAATAGTTGAGATTCTCATGTATCTTTCTGTAAATGATATTTAGTTTAATTCCACTGCGATCAGAGAACATATCACATATGAATTGAATCCACTTAAATTTATGCTGCTGTATGCCTGAGAATACCCATCTTTCTAAATGCTTCATGTGCATTTGAAAGAAATGTGCTGATAGAGTACATTTCTAAACTTTTGCCACATATATCTCTGGGGTTTTGTTTAACGTGAGTATTATTTTTTCCTTTTCTCCCTGTTTTCCCCCTTTATTATGACAAGTAATACTCCACTGGTTGCCTGCAGAGAGGAGACTTAAATGGCTTTTGAACCATATTAATGTAGTAACTAACAAATATTTGTATTTTGAGAAGAAAAAAAAAGAAAAAGAAAGAAAGAGTGAATCATGGTGGTGGACCAGACTCAAATATTATTACACACAAAAACTTGAAACAATAGTTAAAGCAGAAAATGGGAGGAGTGCTTAGAGGATAGAGACAGATGTTTTCTGATTGATAAATACAGAAAATTAAAATTATTTGCAGTAAAAAGTGAAACATATTCAAATTTCAAAATGGTGTTAATGAAATAAAAGAATTACAGAGCACCCTGGATAGACTATGAGAAACTCTCTGAACATAAAATTGTCTGCCCCAAACCTGCTCTGACTCTCCCCCAGTCCTATTTACAAACAACAATAAGCACTAGTTTCAACTGACCCTTGTTTGTCCCCAAAATCTATACTCCAAAAAAGAGTCATTTGACCAGAAAGAGAATTCAAGCTAGAGCAAGGGTTAAGGCAACTGAAGAATTGCATTTAAGGTATACTGAAAAAAGGTACATATCACTCAGAAGAGAGATAGACTAAAATCTTCCAATGTTAGATTTGTCCAAATTTTGGTAAGTGGGATTGTCCTTATCCCATCTACAAAGTTCATATTATGTATCCCCAAAGGAGAGAACCACTCTCTCATTTACCCACTCTGCTGTCCCATTCATAGGAAAAGACTATTAATTCAACAGAAATCACAACTGTGTATCTCCTAGAATAATCCAATAAGACCTTTATGCTCAATTTTGAATAGTCAAAGTTGGCCAGATAGTTGAGCTACTGAAGAACATGATAAACAAACAAAACTGATTCTGGAGAAAAAAGACATAATACAGGAACAGGAGAGAATGTTATCAAACATTTCAAATTTATATTATTGGAATTATAAGGAAGACAATAAGCTTATAACGTGAAAATGGGCTGGGGTAGAAGGGAATATTAGAAGAGAAAATAAAGCTGCTGGGCACTAGAAATGCTGTTAAAAATTTAAAAAGCAATAGAAGCCAAGAAGTGCAAAGTCATCCATGCTGCTAATGCAAATGTATTCCAGCACTGTGCCCTGACACCCAAAACCAGGTGATGTCTCCATCACAATGGTCATTAGCAAAGCCATGGAAGTCATTGAAGGAAGCTGCCATTCAAATAAAGTTTTATGCCGGCCGGTCGACCGGCATAGCTCAGTGGTTCTGCCGCCTGCCTCGCAAGTGTGAGGACCCGAGTTCAATTCCCAGTACCAAAAAAATAAAGCTTTATGATATAACTAATGACACCACAAAAAACCACTGGAGTTAATTAAATAATTCCATTTGGAAAATATTCAAATAAGTTTCTTATACAAATTGTGCAGGTTAATTCAAAGTCTCCACTTATATTCCTAAATAACGTTTAAAAAACTTATATAGGTCGCTGCGGACTCATCAGGGTTGCTCTGACGCTCTGAGCATGGAACCCTATCCTCTTACCCTCCCGCAACGGATGCCCCCAAAGGTTGTTACTGACCACCTCCAGCCCTGCTGCAGTCCCACCCCAGACACAGGCAATTAAATCTGTTTGTATTTATATTCATAAATAACATTTCAAAATATTGTATACATCCTACGGCCAGTGCAGCTGCCCAGCTTGATCAGTGAATTCAGCATCCATTTTGTTGATGGGTGACCCCTGACCCACCCTCAACGGGTGCCCTCAAGGGACATCACTGTTCACTTCCGGTCCCGCCCACTTCCAACGGTTCCTCAGACTGATTTCACGCTCGCCTCGGCACAGCCGGGAGGCCGCTCTCTACAGACCCCTTATTGCTCTATCCTGTGTGAAGTTCGAGGGCCACGCAGCTTCCAAATCCGCAGCAGCCGCCACTCTACTGCCTAGTGGCGTCTCCAACTGTCTTTGCTGCCTTCGCAGCCATTGTCGCCTTCCCCGCCTTCATCGCCTTCGTCGCCTTCGTCGACATTGTGCTTGCTATGTCCGCCATGCCTAACATGCCCTTAGTGGAGCTCCGCCAGAACTACCACTTGGAGTGCGAGGGCGCAGTCAACGCCCAGATTCAGCTGCAGCTGTACGCCTCCTACATCTACCTGTCTATGGCTATGTTCTGCAAACACCTGGATGTAGCCATGGACCACTTCTCTAATTTCTTCCTTCACCGGTCTCACCAGTGGAAGGAGCTCACGGAGAAGCTCATGTGGATGCAGACCGACCGAAGTGGGTTCGTTGTCTTTCTCAAGATCCCGAAGCCTGAGAGGAACAACTGGCTTAGCCCCACCCATGCCATGGAGAGCGCCTTCAACCTAGAGAAGACCATCAATCAGAACCTCTTGGAGCTTCACGAGCTGGCGACCAAGAAGGGTGACCCCAACTTGTGCGACTTCCTGCAGTGCCACTACCTCCGCCCCCAGGTCCAGGTCCTCAAGGACATGAGCCAGGAATTGACCAACATTCACAAGATTGAGGCTGTGAAGGGGGACCTTTCCAACTGCCTCTTTAAAAGTCTCACCCTGAGGGAAGACGACCAGGATGACAGAGCATGAACTGTCGTCAGAGCCATGGGGTCCTCCTTGGGTCACCAAGGAGGGCCTGCATACCTCCCTATCACCACATTCGTTTCAACTTTCCTTTCCATTGAGTTGTTGTTTTCAATAAAGTTACTTGGTTCTTAAAGCAATGAAGGTGTCCAGTTCGTTCCTATGTATAGCACTGAAGATGAGAGCATATGCCTATTGTGTGCAATGGGTATATAGGATGAGTCTCTCCACCCACTAGTGCCTCATCTGCAGACAGCTCATATTCACCATGACGGAAGATAAAGATAGGGCCTATGGAAAATACAGAATTAGGCTTCCCTTAAAAACTTTGTGGGCATGGGGGATGGGGTGGATTGGTGAGCATCGTGGGGCCCCTGAAATCTGTACATGGTAAAAGCTTGAATATGTCATTTATCTGAGGCACTAGTGGAGGAAATGGGATTGGGCAGGGATTACCCAGTGTGTGAGGCCCTGGGATCAAGTCTCAGACATGAAAAAAGCAATAAATAAATGGTGCTGCTGAGGTATAAGTAAAGGAAATAAGATGTGCCAGGGATTGTCTAGCATGAGATCAATTTCAGCACTGAAAATAAATGAATAAATAAATAAATGAAAAACTTGGTGCTTCTGAGGCTCAAAGGAAGGAAATGGAATTGGGCAGGAATTGCCTAGCTTGTGAGGCCCTGAGATCAATTCTCTGCACCTCAGCATTGCAAATAATAAATACATAAATAAAAATTAAACATTACTTAAAGACATTTAGTTTATTAAAATATCTAAATGTTAATATCTATTGATTCTAGGTAGCAAAACACAGGGTCTGAAAGAGGGCACGGTATTGAACTTCTGACCAGGTTACCTTGGCCAACAGTGAGAATTTGAATAAGCCTTAGCCTGGCTTTCTGGCCAGGGTGAGTGAATTAGTTACTTTCCTCGTCGATGAGACAAAATACAAGACATCCACAAGTTAAGGGGAGAAGCTTTGATTTAGCTTGCAGTTTTTACAGGTTTTAGTTTATAGTAGTCTATCTCTAAGGCAGGGTGGCATAGTAGAAGGGCATCACAAAAAAGAAACAGTCCATTAAAGGCAGGCAGGAAGCAGCAGCAAGCCTCCCTTTCACTTTTATCCCAGCCAGGCTACAAGCTTTTTGGGTACTGCCACCCACACCCAGAATGTGTCTTCTCTTTGTCCCTGAAGTGTGACCACTTAGTCTTCAGATAGACCAGTGACCACACGAGTAGGAGTAAAAATTACCTTTATTGCCAGTGGCTTCAAAGAATTCAAATCACCTCGAAACTGTCAAACAGAAGTTTACTCTCATTTTTATAACTTTATGTTTCTATAGGATGGGGAAACAGCAACCATAATCACTGGGGAAATGGTTATCAATCTAAATACAATTGCATAAGCAAAGGGGCGATGAAGAGAGGAGCAGGAGGTTTAGCAGGTCTTTCTGAGATTGCTTTGCTCTAGTGAGTTTGCATCACAGTAATGACTGTAGTTACAATATATCTTTCTCAGTAAGCATAGATACACAGTTAACCCATAGTTGCCCATTTTACACCAGGAGACAGTTTTTGCCCCCATACATACACACACAACTATGCTGAGCCAATCAGTAGACTAATCCAGTACCACTCACCCTAATCCCTTTTCACTCACCCTACATCCATGTTTCTCATTACTGAGACAAAATACTCAACATCCACAAGTTAAAGGAAGGAAGGTTTATTTCAGCTCACAGATTGTGGAGGTTTCAGTCCATAGTCAGCTGGCTCCAAGGCAGGCTAGGATGGCAGAGATGCATCACAGAGGAGAAACCATTTGTGCATGGTAAATAGAAGGCAGAAAAGCAGCAAGCATAAGCAGTAGCAGCAGGAAGCTTCCTTTTCCCTTTTATCCCATCCGGGCAACAAGGTTTCATGGGCCTGCCACCTACAAACAGGGTGGGGCTTCCCACTACCCATAGCCAGAGCTGTGCTAAACCAGTTAGTGGATTAATCCAGTACCACATACCCTTAGTCCCAGTACCATATCTTCACATAACCTAAATACACCCACCTCTGAAAAGTGCACGTGAGACTTTGGAGGAACATCTAGATATAAGCCATAACATTCTGCCACTAGCCCCCAGAAGAAACAAGCATCCCTTTATGCAACATACATTTATTCCATCTCTAATAGATGCCAAATTCCCAACCTTTTTGGCATTACTAAAAAGTCTGAGTCCCAAGTCTTCTCTAAGGTGTAAGGCACTCTTATCTTTGAGCCCTATACAAATAAGAAGAAATTTAAATGCCTCCAACATAAAATGGTACAAAATAGACATTACCATTCCAATAGGTACAAATAGAGGGACAAAAAGGAATAGGACAAAAGTCCAGCCAGACAAACATTAAGTCCCATAGTTCCATGTCCTACATATGGGGCAATCTGTGGCAAGATGTGAACTTCAAAGGGCTTGGGTGACTACACCCCTACTACACTGTTGGTTTTTGCAGCCCTCAAGGCTTCTCTCTTGGGCCAATTTGCTCAAACCTTGCAGCTGTCCTAAAGTGATCCATGTTCCTTGCTTCTCCAACCTTCTGGGGTCTCCACTGCACCTTCTTCAGCTTCACATATTGCCCTCTCCAGGGCACACTGCCTGGCTTTCCAGGCCTTCTTCTAAAATCTGGATGGAAGCCTTCCTGACCATACAACTCCTGCATTCTGCATTCACCTAAAACCAGCACCACAGGGATGTTGCCAAGGATTCCAGCAGCCATCTGGAGGCATAGTCAGGCTTCTTTCTGTCTTGGCTGTAGTGTCTGTGTACCTGGATTCCTCAGCCCTATGAACCTACTCCAAAGGAATGAATTCTTTCAGCCACCACTATTCTGGAACATGATACTCTGGTGTTCTCTCTTTAAAGCAATTCACCTTTGAAATTTTGAGGTTGCAAAAGGTGGAGTCCTGATGCCCCTAGGCCACCTTTTCTATTGTCCTCTACCAAAATACTTGACTTTTTATTGCAAATTTTTCTAGCACTGAAGTTCTCCATGTTTGCAGTCCACAATTTGACTGGAGTTTCCTTTATGGCCAAACAAAACTTTTAAAATCATTCAGTTCTACCCATCGCTCTTGATTGTCAACAATTTAGCCCCTAAAAGACCCCAAAAGTAGTCATGCCCTCATCTCAATATTAGACTGCTTTGAAATTTCTTCTGGCACATTAATTAGTCTGCTGCCCTTGATCTCAGTCTCAGGCAAACTCTGGATAAGAGGAAATGCAAACACATTTTCTGCCAAAGAATAACACATTTGGTCTGGAGTCTGACAGCCAATGCAGGACTTGTCCTAACTGAAACTTCCTGATCCTAGTCTTTACCAGATGCATTTCTATCAGCATTCTGGTCTCTTTTGAACTGACCAGAATCTCCCATCAAGCTCTTTTATAGCATTCAAAGGCTGCTTTTTCCAAGCTTTTTCAAATTCTTCCCTCAGGCCAGTTCCAAAGGAGCCTGAACCACATGATCAGGTAATGTCACAGCAATGACCCCAATTCTCTGATACAAAAATCTTTCTTAAGTTAAACTATCATTATTTGCTGATGATATGATACTCTACATTGAAGATCCAAAAAACTCCACCAAAAAACTTCTAGACTTACTGACAGATTCAGTAAAGTATCTGGAAACAAGGTGAATACCCAAAAATCAATAGCCTTTCTATACACAAATAACAGACAGACAGAAAGAGAAATAAGGGAAAAAATTCCTTTTACAATAGCATCCAAAAAAATGAAGTATCTAGGAATCAATCTAACAAAAGAAACAAAAGATCTCTACACTGAAAGCTACAGCACTCTGAAAAAAGAAATTGAAGAGGATATAAAAAAATGGAAAGATATCCCCTGCTCCTGGGTAGGAAGAATCAACATAGTGAAAATGGCCATACTACCGAAACTGCTATATACATTCAATGCAATGCCAATTGAAATTCCAACACTATATTTCACAGAACTAGAAAAAAGAATCCAAAAATTCATTTGGAACCACAAGAGACCTAGAATAGCAAAAGCCATTATAGGCAACAGTCACATGGCACCAGGTGTAACAATTCCCAATTTGAAACTATACTACAAAGCCACTGTGATAAAATCAGCATGGTACTGGCAAAGAAATAGGCCTGAGGATCAATGGAACAGACTGGAAGACACAAAAACAAATGCAGATGTACTCAGCTACCTCATCTTCGACAAAGGAGCTCACCATCCTCAGTGGAGGAAAGATAGCCTCTTTAATAAATGGTGTTGGAAAAACTGGATATCAACCTGTCACAGATTAAAATTAGACCCTTATCTTTCGCCATGCACTAAATTAAAATCCAAATGGATTAAAGATCTAAATATTAAAACAGAAACATTAAACTTGCTGGAAAGTAAGTTAGGCAGAACTCTGGAAGACATTGGTATAGGAAAAGACTTTATGAACAAATCCTCAGTAGCACGGGAACTAGCAGAAAGAATCAACAACTGGGATCTCATCTTACTAAAAAGCTTCTGTACTTCAAAAGAAACCATTAGCAGAACTAAGAGACAATCTACAATGTGGGAAAAAATTTTTACCAGCTGTACCTCAGACAAAGGACTATTATCAAGGATATATAAAGAACTCAAAACAATCAGTCCCCCCAAATATAAAGACCCGATCCAAAAATGGGCATCCGAAATGAACAGACATTTCTCATACAAAGAAGTGAAAGCAGCAAGAAAATATATGAAAAAATGTTCCACATCACTGGTCATTCGAGAGATGCAGATGAAAACAACACTGAGATTCCACCTCACCCCACAAAGAATGGCTGCTATCAAGAAATCACACAATAACAAATGTTGGCGGGGTTGTGGGGAGAAAGGAACCCTCCTCCATTGTTGGTGGGAGTGCAGACTAGTGCAACCACTATGGAAATCAATATGGAGATACCTCAAAGAGCTTGGACTGGAGGTTCCATTTGACCCAGCCATCCCTCTGTTGGGTATCTTTCCAAGAGAACTAAAAGAATCATATCACAGAGAAGTATGTGCACCCATGTTTATAGCGGCACAGTTTGTAATAGCTAAATCTTGGAAACAACCTATTTGCCCATCCG